AACAAATGAATAATTCTTTTATTGAATTTTCCGCTTTTATTTACTTATGTTTTTTTTTTTTGCCGAATTTATCAATTATTTTGAGGGTGGAATTGCATATGACATAATTGAAATACTTAGATCAAAATATATTTTAAAACCGCTTTATTGAGGCAGTCTCATATAATTTTTCCATTCAGGTTATGCGGAACTAGTGACTTTCTTTTGAGGTGAAACTAATGCTGTTTAAAATTTATCTCTGCTAATACCAAAGAAAAAAAAAAGTAGAAAAAAGTTGTTCAAAAAATTTTTGTTTTTAATGTTACTTATTTTTCGGGGTTTTTTTTTATGTCACTTTTTGCTGTTACTGTCGTTGCTTTTACTTATTCATCAGTATCGTCTTCTTGTCTTGACTGACAAAGATAAAAATTGAAGATTTTTTTCATTTACTTTGGTTTTTTTTCTTCCTTCTCTTGTTACTGCTTAAGTGCTGTTTGCTGTTAAGCTGAAAAGTAAGCTGAACAGTGCACAAAAAAAAAAAACAAAAGAGGAACTTTGAATGTTGCGGTAACAGAATTTTAGCGAGAACTTTGTTGCAAAATAACGAATTGTATCTGTTTAACAGCCTTATTAGCACTTCCTTTTGTTTTGCACACTATCAAACTTACGGCTTTATAAACAACATAAAATTGTGCTACTATATATAAGTTCTTCGTTTTCTGTTCTCTAATAGTTTATTCTGTGGTTTTTCCTAATTTTTTTTTATGTTTTTTATTTCATCTCCAACTTCTTCTTTCACCAATCTACTGGTTTTATAAAAATAGCTTTAAGAAAAACCATAGTTTGTTTTGCATATCCATTTTAACACTAAATTTAGAACAAAAAATATTGTAGACAAGAAATTTCGTGCAATATTTTTTACACCATTTTAATTGCACTTTTAATCATCGTATATATTATGTAAGCAAATTTGATTTTTTACCTTTTTTTTTCCTTCTTTTTTTCTATGAATAAGGCAGCAAATTTATATTTCAGGTATACTTTTGCAAGAAAACATTAGCTGCAGCTAAAAAAACGAGCTATGTATCACACTAAATTTTGCATTCTGCTATTGCTTTTAGTAGGTAATACAGCTTTTTTTTTCATCTCTATTAATTTAAATTAAATTTCTTTTTTTTTTTTCTCTGCACGATAAAGGTTATTAGTGTTGGATTTCAGAAAATAAGTATGACATATAAAGTTTACATAAATATTCCAACCTTTTTGTGTTTTATTTTTCAGGTCTTCTTTTTCTTTTTTTTTTT